TCTGCTGCAGTGATGTCTGACTCTTCTTCTCTGTCTGCAGCAGTGATCTCTGACTCTTCTTCTTCTCTGTCTGCTGCAGTGATGTCTGACTCTTCTTCTCTGTCTGCAGCAGTGATCTCTGACTCTTCTTCTTCTCTGTCTGCTGCAGTGATGTCTGACTCTTCTTCTCTGTCTGCAGCAGTGATCTCTGACTCTTCTTCTTCTCTGTCTGCAGCACTGCAGCAGTGATGGTCCTGAAGGTCCTTCAGGTTTCCTGGAGCGACTGTGCTTTGAGATGAAGAAGGGACACAAGGAGACCATGCTGCAGCTGCTCCTCTCTCCTGTTCACATTTTTGTCAGTGACAACTACCAGGTATGAAGAGACCGTCACACAGTCTGGACACCAGATGAAACGCCTGCTTCTTGTTTTATATATACATACCTCAGGAGTACTACAAGATAACTGTTACACAGTTTAATGATTCCCCATTAAAACACCTGAAGTTACACTAGTGCCCCCCCCGGGGACAGAAGTGTTTTTACCCCCCAACCCCCTGGCCCACACCCCCGCGAATTGAAATACTACTGAGAACCTGATAACGTATATTTTTATCTTGTACAAACCAGTGTATGAGTTGCTGCCACCTAGTGACTGGAGGCTTGTTAGCACCTTACTGCGCCCCCACCCCACTATTTGAGAAGTACTGCACTAGTGTACAGACACGTATTCATCCTGCTTAGGTTTATCAGCTGGTACATTAGCAGTTAATTAGCAGTTAATAAGCTGATTGTGATGATTGGTCTGCAGCGTCCCACCGCTGACGGGGTCTTAAGAGACGGTCACCTGAGTCTGTCTGGACTCCAGATGAGGGCCCACGCCATGTTCTCTGCCCAGGGCCTTCCTGTGGGCACCGACACTCTGGAGTACGCCTGGCTGATCGACATGCAGGCTGGAGGCCTCACGGGCAGAGTCACCGTCCCACAGGTGTGTGTGTGTGTGTTTGAGAGTGACGGCTGCTAATTCACATCTGTAGGTCATGTGACTTTTACAGCACTGTTTTAGAGAAGTCTGGTTTTTGGAAATTCAGGAGGAAATTCTTATAACAAATATTAATATATTTGTTTCGTATATATAAATAAATGGGTAAAAATATGTGTTATATATATATATGAATATGTGTATTTGTATGTGTATGTGTATGTGTGTGTATATATATATATATATACACATATATATATACTGTATATACATATATATGCATGTATATGTATATATGTATATGTGTATGTATATATATACAGTGTATATATATATACTATATATATACAATATACAGTATATATATATATATATATA